AAAGATGTTCTTACGTATTTCATTTACTAATCAGATTATCTCCCACCCCACCCAGTTTGTTTCTCCAATCTCTTCTCTACAAGTTTACAATTAACCGTTTAGTTACGATTTGCAACCTACTTTTCTGTCCTCATCCATGGATTCTTCATCCGCACTTATTAAACTGGAAGTACTAACCCCATTCGAATATTATGTTCTACAATTTCATAATCCAATTTTTCAATCAACCACTATCATCCTTTCAATTTTCATACAAATCCAATCTCACTCTGCAGGAAGGCATTTTTAACTTAACTTTGCACGAAATTTTTATTGCACAATTTTTATGACCACTTTTTGTGACAAGACTTCATTCATTTTAGACAATACAGGCCAACACAATCAACTGACAACATAAACGAAATTTTATTCATTTACAATGTGTACACAAGTTCATTACAAAAAAAAAAAAACAAAAAACAAAAATAGAGAGGGGGCCCTTCATCTCCCTTGGTTATTCCTCCTCGCTGGAAACAAGCTCCTCTTCTTCAATGCCCTCGTCCAGGGGGGTCTGGGCCACATCATCTTCACCAATCGTTACACTACTCAGGTCCAAGTCTGGGAACAGCTCTTCAGCTCTGCGTTGGAACATCTTTCAACCGCTGTCCCAGAACTCAGCCATTTCGTGCTTGTAGAAGTCTGACTGCTGGAAGCTCTCAATAACTTCTACCTCTGTCCTATCTCCAGCAGTTGTCCTTGATGGGCCCACCCCCCCAAATTCTTGCCCAGCCAGATTCCTGGCGACTGCGGCATCTATCGCCATCTGAAATTCGGGAGACCCTTTGTATTGCTCCACTGCTGCAACGCATAGATCAGGGTAGGCCACCCTCTCAGAAGCCGCCTTCGCCCTCTCTTCGTCCAGCTCTCTCTGCAGGGCCCCCCTTTCAGCAGTCGCCGTCGCCCTTTCCTCTTCTATTCCCTTCCTCAGGCTCTCCATCTCCGCCATCGCCTTCGCCTTCTCTGTTTCCAACTCCCTCACGAGCCTCCCCTTCTCCTCCTCTGCTTTGACGCGCTCATCCTCCAACTCCTTCAACAGATCTCCAATTATGGCATCTGCCTCATCTTTTTGCCTAACCAGCTCTTCATTGCTGCTCATGGCCTCTTCATGCCGCTCGATCGCAACGGCGCAGGTTCTTTCAGACTCCTCCAACTTTTTCTGTTCGCCAGCCAGTTGGAACTCGAGCGACACGACCTTACGGCGTGTGTCCTCAGGCTCCAACTTGACTGCTTGCAGCTCAGCATGGGCAGTCTTCCAGTCGGCACTCTCCTTCTTCAACTTGGCCAACTGGGCCTTGGCCTCTTTAGCCTTTAGCTTGGCAGCCCCTGCTTTCCTTAGAAGGGCCCCTGCCAAGGTAGTTACCTCCATTTGGGCGGAGCATAACCCCCTCAGCAGGTCAGCCTCATTGAATCCCGATGCCAAGCGCAGGGCTGTCTCCTCCACAATCTTCACCAAGCGGTCTGCCCCCGCCCTAGCTGGCCCTTCTTCTCCCTTCAACCTTCCCGCTACCGCGCAAGAGTGATAGATTACCGTGGCAAGACGGACCCCTCCTTCCTGAGGTGCAGGGCCCCTTTGGGTCTGTCCCCTCCCGCTTGGCTCAGCCTCAGTCAACCCAACTCCTACTTGCACCGTTGGGGCAGTCTCTACAACCTCCAGTGTTGGGGTGACCCCCACCACCTCTGGGGTATCCTTGGTCACGGGGGCCTCCACCTCAGTTGGGGCCACCTTAGCCCTCTTGGCCCCAGACTCATCTGCAGCTCCCTTTGGGGCACTCCTCTTCTTTTTTTTCTTCTTCTTCAAAGCCTCACCCTCCTTTCTGGCCTGTTCTTTTACAGGATCTACTGGGGGCGGTCGTGGCTCAAAACTGCTTAAGTCCTTCCCCTCTAGCGGCCTTGGGCGCGGTCGGATCCTCTCCCGCGCGATCGGTTGAGACGGTCGGTCTCCTCGCGTTTCCTTCAACTTCGTGGCCTTGGCAAGTATGGCCTGATCCTCTGCTTCCTGAACTTCTCTTCTCACCTCCAATTCTGCTCGGTCGAGGTCCCCACCCCTCGGTTGCGGTCCTAACCCTGCCTCAAACAATGCGGACGGTTGAACAAGCTCGTCTCATTTGGCCTTCTCTCCCTCCCTCCACTCCTTCACCCTCTTCACCCTCTCTTCCACCGCTGCCCCCAGTCTTGACTCCATCGACCTAATAGGCACCTTCCAGATGGTGCGCACTCCCAATCCCCCATTGGCAGACACGTAGAACCACCGTAGCTGCCACCCCTTGATCGATGTCGGCAGCCCCGCCACCAATCCCCTCCCCATCACAGCCTGAAGGGTGACCCACGTCTCTTGCTGCCCCGAAGCCTTATAACAGGAAAAGAACTCATCTACCGCCATGTCTTCCCCTCCATTCGCCTTGGGCCACGCGCTAGCACAGGCTAGCAGAATCTTCCATGCATTGGGCATCAATTGCCTCGACGCTACCTCTAGACGGTTCAGTACGTCAACCACCACTTGGGGCAGTGGCAACCTCAACACACCTTTTAGCGCCTTCTCGTAAAGGAAAAACTCCCCTGGCCTGGCATCAGACGGCCTTTCCCTTGATGTTGGTAGCAATAACTCCACCTTCGGAATCTGGTATTTTTCCCTGATAGCCTCCAAATCCGCCGCAGTAATTGTGGATTTGTCAGCCTTAGTGTGCCACTAATCCAGTTCTACTTGGCTTATTGGCCTTGGAGCCAATATCAGGGCCGACGCCCGCGATTGTTCCACCGGTTCCCCCACCCCCACCATTCGTGTCTCCGTCCTATATCGTGCTGCTAGCTCCTTTGCATCATCGTCTCCCAGAGGGTCCACCCTCACATTCACCACTTCTTCTTGTGCCATTTTTAGGGTTTGCTTACGAATCACTTCTGACGCAGGAGCAAGGAAGTTGAGAAAATGTTACACGGGTGTGTCGTGCGCAATGAAGGAATTAACACTTGGGTATTTTGAGTTTTTGTAAAAAGGTAGGTGAAACAAATTATATCAAAAACCCACGGTTTACCCTTATTCCATGGATCCACATTAATTTTCGCCCGTTTAAAAACCTTTCAAATCAACCGCCAAAACCGCCTTTTCAAAACCCCTCTTGTGACCTATCGTTTCATTTCTGTTCCAACGCTTCACTTCCCCCACGATATTGCCACGTGTATGGCCACGATGCACTGTCCCCTCCCCTTACCCAGTCCTTTCCATTTCACATCATCACATGGCACGCCCCCTCCCTTTTTTTGAGCCCCGCGCCGTCCTGGTCGGCATGCCTCACGGTCGACCCCTTCCGCTCGGCCACCCTTGCGATCGGCACGCCTAACGGTTGACCCCTCCCGCTCGGCCACCCTCATGGTCAGCTTCCCCCGCTCGGCCACCCTTACGGCACGCCTAACGGTCGACCCCTCCCGCTCGGCCACCCTCACGGTCAGCTCCCCTCGCTCGGCCACCCTTGCGGTCGGCACACCTAACGGCCGACCCCTCCCGCTCGGCTACCCTTGCGGTCGGCACGCCTAACGGTCGACCCCTCCCGCTCGGCCACCCTCACGGTCAGCTCCCCCCGCTCGGTCACCCTTGCGATCGGCACGCCTCGCGGTCGGCACGCCTAATGGTCGGCCTCTCCGCTCGGTTCGCACTTCTCTTCCTTATTATTATTCCCTTCGTTGGACTAAAGCTGCACTCGAAAATAGGGGACTACTGACATGGATAGGCCCATAAGGCTTACAGCCCACAGCAAACAACCCCAAACCCATCGCTTGGGACCCATAGCATAACCCGGTTAGCAAAGCCCAGGACAGCTGGAGGCCATCTGGGCATGGAGGGCCAATGTCATTCGGGCACATGGCAGGTGAAACACAGGCCACATCAGCAGACAAAGATCTGCAGAGTTATTGTCACAACACATCACCATTAATGCAGCCCATCACAGCATTTATTACGACAACACCTCCCTGTCGGAACAGAGCCCCCTCACCCTGAACAAGGTAAGCTACGGCACAGGCTTTCGGCGGAATGGGGCACGTCGCAAGGGACAGTGAAATGATTACCAAAGGATATAAGCAAGAATCAAAGACAAGAGGAAGGTTAAGCTTTTCTATATCTCTCTCTTTATACTTTTCTTTCTTCCACTACTGATTTGCTCGCCGGAGGGTTCACTGGGGGACTACCCCGTTCCCCTTTGGACTTGCTTGCAGGTCATCTGGTGGAAGCATCCGCTTGGATCGGAACTTGAAAAGCTTGGACCAGCCCGACCCATCCACCTAGGACGAACTGCATCATCACTAACAATATTATCTAAGAAAAAAAAAAAGAAGATATTTTACTTTGTCCTTACTTAATTATGTATTTTCTCCTTAAGGGATTTATGAAAAAAAATAAATTAAACTATTCTTTTCACCAAATAGGGTTCAATGAAGGGATTTTGACTAAATTTCCTTTAACTATATTCCCAGAAGAGGCCAAAATATATTGCATCACACATTTCTATCTATGGAATGTTATTAGGCGAATACATTTCTTTTTTCTTCTAGATGGATACATAACCAATATGATATATTCGTGGAATCAGAATAAATTAAAAGACGACTTTTAATCATCTTTTTAAAAGAAACCAAAATATATTGAATCAAACATTTTTATTTACGGAATGCTATTAGGCTAATACATTTCTTTTTTCTTCTAGATGGATACATAACCAATATGATATATTCATTTTTTTTGGTTACATCGAAATGAATATGATTTGGATTTGGTTTTGGGCTAAAAAAATTTAGCAATATTTTTTTGATAATATAATTTTGGTTTTGGGCTGGGCATCAACAGCATTGGGCCTAATCAAAACTTGAGATCTTACTAATAGGCTAAAAGCCTTAAACTAGGAGGTTCAAGAAGATTATCGAATCTTGTAGAATTCTCTGTCTCCTCCCTGACTCATCTGCCAAGCGTGCTCTCCCTCTCTCTCTCTCTCTCTCTCTCTCTCTATATGTAACAGCTCTTTGGCTTTCATTGCATCATTGAAAACTGCTCAAAGCTTTGGTATACCTCTCAGATTCATCACTTTCCAGTTTTTCAAACTATAAGAAAATTTAGAAAATGGCGATGATTCCAAGCATCTTCGGCGGCCGTCGAAGCAATGTCTTCGATCCATTCTCTCTCGACATCTGGGATCCCTTTGAGGGCTTTCCCTTCAACAACGCCCTCGCCAACATCCCCAACTCCGCCCGCGAGACCTCCGCCTTTGCCAACACTCGCATTGACTGGAAAGAGACTCCAGAGGCTCACATCTTCAAAGCCGATCTTCCAGGGCTGAAGAAGGAAGAAGTGAAGGTGGAAGTTGAAGAAGGAAGAGTTTTGCAGATCAGCGGAGAGAGGAGCAAAGAGCATGAGGAGAAGAACGACAAGTGGCACCGCGTTGAGCGTAGCAGCGGCAAGTTCCTCCGCCGCTTCAGGTTGCCGGAAAATGCGAAGGTCGATCAGGTCAAGGCTGCGATGGAGAACGGTGTTCTGACTGTGACTGTGCCCAAAGAAGAAGTGAAAAAGCCTGAGGTTAAGTCCATTGAGATCTCTGCTTGAATTGCGCTGCTGAGCTTTGGAGTGTTAGTGTTTGAGTGTTTGAATTATATGATAAATAAATGCTCGTTGTTTTGTTTGTAGTAAAGAGGAAGTGTTATGCAATGGCTACTTGAGAGCCTGTTTATGTATGTGTTGAACCAGTACCTGGTTATTTGCTATGTTTTGTTTGATATAAATTGGAAGAAATATTGTTCTGATGATTTGATTGTTGATCTTGTTTTCCAAATTTCAATTTATGTTTCCGATTGCTCTATTTCATTTCTGTTACATTAAACATGTCCATCTCAACTGCTTTAATGCGAATGGTCATCTTGCTCTAATGTTTCAAATTGACATGAGTTAAGCATTGTTTGACTAGTGATTATTGTAGTAATTTTTAATTTTTTTTATAAAAATATTTTAAAAAATAAAGGATGTAATATGATTGGATGTATTGAATTTTCTTTTTAGGATTATTTCATCAGAAAAAAAAAAAAAAAAACTTTCATTCGAAACAATCCCTTAATATGATTTGTAAAATAAGAAGCCTTCCTAGGCTCCTAGCCCATTTCTTCGAGTCCAGATCCTCTGCCATAGTTTCCTGCCGTGGTTCCCAAACGACGTCGTTTTGGCGTTAAATTCAATTTTTTTTTTTTGGCCCTTTTCTCTCTCAATCGTTGAGACAGCCCTAACCCTCAAAGAGAGGCGAACTCGAATGGTTCCTCCGACGCAGAGGAGAGTGGGCAGAGGCAACAGCGGCTACAGCTAAGCGAGGTGAGGCGGCCGTGAGGTCTCCTCTTCCATCTTCATTCTCATGTGGTGTTTAAATATGTATGTATATATATGATTTCTTGATTTGAATTTCTTGTTGATTTCTTAAATAGGTTTTGTTAAGTGGTTTGATTTCTAGGGTTTTATGGGCTTGATTTCTAAGGTTTGATTTCGTAAATGGGTTTGATTTTTAGAGATTTTCCCTTCTCTCTCATCAGTTTCAAAGCCCTAATCAATTTCCAAGAACAGAGGAATGGTCTGAACTGAACCCCATTACTAGTGCTCTCAGTAGTTCGGGAGCACCATCATCATGCTTAGTTGATAAAAAGAGTAGTAATTTTTGTTATAATATTGCAACAATCAATTTAAAGCAACCAATTTTAAGCACTGAACTATAACATAGGTATGAAATTGATTGGAAAAAGGAATATTCATGACTTTTAAGATTGGTATTTCAAGCCTATGAATCATCAAGTGTATGAATGGTACCCACTCTGAATCATCAAGTGTATGAATCATCTAGTTCATGGGTAATCAGAGCACTGATTGTTCCAATGGTACCCACTCTGATAGCTTCAAGTGTATGAACCATGATGCTTTGTATTAACAGTCTAATCAGATTTTGCTCATAAAAAACAAGCTCTGAAATGTCCTGTTCAAAGAAGAGTTATCAGCAATCAGAAAACAAGCTCCTAATGGGGTCGATCTTGTCTCTCACCTAAAAATGGGTTATGTCAACTCCGCTCAAGGAAGCTGCAAACCCATTTGTGTATATGTTGGTTTTTTTTATTTGTGCCACTTGTTGACTTGTGGGTATTGTTTAATTGCTTGTTTTGATTTGTTTTATTTTAAAGGGTTTGATCCTCTTGGATCACTGGTATTCTTTTATTTATTTATTTATTTATTTTTTTGTTTATCTTCATCTGATTGAATTTGTTGAGATAAATATAGAAGATGTGGAATATGAATTGAAATTGGGTTTGGGTGGAAGCTTTGAGAAATGGAATCAATACATGGGGGATATATATACAAAATAGATTGTATATACAAAATATTAGTGAGATTTCTCTTTGGCTACAACTTCTTGTTCTCATTCCACTCTATGAAAATAGATTGTATATACAAAATTTATAGTCTTGTCCTGAAAATTGTCTTTGGCTACAACTTCTTGTTCTCATTCCACTCTATGAAGGGCCCAACATATCTCATAGCACCTTCAGCTGAATTAATTTCTCCATACATGGGCAACAAATTTGGTCTTCTATGCAGCTTGCATAAAACTCTTGTACCAACTGATGCTTTTTTTTACCTTCTTATCTATTTATTTTTTGTAATTATTTCCTTTCTTGTCTATTCACTCATCAATCTCCAGGTCCATTTTAGTGATGGCTGAACTTATGAATTTTCTGTTTCTTAACTACCTTGCATAAAACATGATAAAGCATGTGTGTTCACATTATTGCTTTGTGAACCTACAAATCTGGGAATTCATTGCCAATTACATTAACAAATCTGTATTTTGAGATTGAAACTTTACCTAGAACTTGCAGTATATTGATTCTGTTTTCGGAAGACATTTAACTTTTCCAGAAAGAAAGGGGAGATTACTTGACAATACTGATGAGTTTGCTCTGATGTGTAAATTTGAGCTTCTTTTTTTTATTTTTTTATTTTTTGCAGGGTTGCAGCCCAACAAAGTGTACTATTTATCAATGTGGAGATCCTTCTATAACAGCAATGAGTAATGTGTCCTACAAATGCAACATAAAGAAGTGATGGAATTATTGGAGAAAGAGTTGTGCTATTGCAAAGTGAACTTGTAAGAAACGGAGAGTGTTAGTGGACAACTTCGATTTTTGACCGCGAAGATGCAACAAGCAATAAACCTTTGAATGTGTAATTGGTGTTACTTGTAATTGCTATTATTTTAATTATGAAGTAACTATGTTTCAATGTTGTAATTGACTAGTTTGATTTTTGAAATGGTTGGGAATGTAGAACTTTCGAAAATTGTGAAATTTGAAATGTAGTTGCTATTATTGAAATAGTTGGGAATTTAGAAATTTTGAAAATTGTTAATTTTGAAATGTTGTTGTTGCTATTATTGAAATGGTTGGCAATGTATGTCAGTGTTGTTCTTGCCATCTTGACAAATATTAAGTCTTTTTGATGATTGTCCAATATATAGATGAAATGCCATAGAAACAACCAGGCGCACTCCAGGTGAGAATTTTAATGGAAAAAACAAACAGTCCAATTTAATGTTGGAAAACTTGAGCACTCTACATCCTTAGTTTGTCATTCAGTCAATTAACACAACGTTGAAATCAATTAACATCAAGGCAATTAAACCGAAACATTCTGTCAATTAACATAATAAGGTTGAAATCAATTAACATTCAATCAATTAATTGTTCGTATCAAGGCAAAGATGAAGATAGAAAGATAAAGCAAAGGCCAAAGATATATGATAGACTAAATTTTTTAATAAAACAATGATATATAACAAACCTGTTTTACAAATCTCATTCAGTCATAATCAAAATTGCATAAAAATATATGACAGACTAAATTTTTTTTTATTAAACAATTTCATTCTGTCAATTAACATAATAAGGTTGAAATCAATTAACATTCAATCAATTAATTGTTCGTATCAAGGCAAAGATGAAGATAGAAAGATAAAGCAAAGGCCAAAGATATATGACAGACTAAATTTTTTAATAAAACAATGATATATAACAAACCTGTTTTACAAATCTCATTTAGTCATAATCAAAATTGCATAAAAATATATGACAGACTAATTTTTTTTTTATTAAACAATTTCCTAGGACTCATTTGATCTATAAAAAATGACTTTATCAATCTCTTAAAAGACTGATTAGATCTATATAATATAACCATACTCAAATTTGCAATTCCATTAATACAATAGAAGCAGAAAAATGAGAAAAATAAAAACTATGAAAATGATATTTTCCAAAATTGCTTCGTTTCACATGAATATCATCAGAAGATTGTTTCAACTTGTTAGCATCAGTAACTTGAACGAAACAGGCTCGGAGATCAACAACGACGTCGCTTGATCATGAAATGAATTGATGACGATGAATTGTAGTTGATATGAGAAGCAGCAATCCATATGCAGATGCTCCATTTCGTTGCTATCACGGAGTCATCAAGACCCTAGAGAGAAAAGAAACAGGGTTTTCATGGCCGCACAGAGTATGTTCCACTATCAAATTACCATGGTTGGGCACCTGTATTCAATGATGGAAGTGAAGACGAGTCAAAAAATGAAAGTTTTCAGCGGGTTTATATCAAATCATACCCGTCTCTCAGTCAATCTATCTTACCTGTCTCTTAGTCAATCAATTAATATAAACACATCTTTCCCATCTACCTAATTTATCACGTTCATTCATTAATTCATCTAACCAAACTTATATATTTTTTCCAAAACAAAGTCAGCTTGATATAAACACATAACATTTTAACAAAATAAAACATAAAAATAAAATAAATGATAAGTCGTACACGTGAGGTTCACCTAATGTTAACAATGTAATTAAAGTTGGCTAGATTTTTATTGAATTTCTGTGTGTATTTTTACATATATTTTTCCATAAAATCTCTCTATTTGTGTATGGCTTATTATTTCACTTGCATTTTTATTAAGAGTTTAGTTTAGTTTAGTTTAGTTTTTTTTTTGTGTGACAAATAGAACCAAATAGAAAACTTATGGCTTATAAATATATTTGTGTATGGCTTATTATTTCACATGCTTAGAACCAATTGTGTGACCAACAATGATAGAGATCACTAATTTTGGAGCTCTAAAAAGACCACTAATGACATGGTACTCAATAAAAAAAGAAAAAAATACAACACCAAGGCCAAAATATCAAATCATTCCTGGTGGGGCCTACTGCCACATCATTAGTGGTAGCACTAATTAGTGCTCTCACTCATTTTCCTTTTGTGACAAAAAAAAAACTTAAAAAAAAAAAAAAAAAAAATCCCTTTCCTTTGAATTAGTCTAAGAATTTCATGGCTTTGCATAAAAAAATTCTTAAAATCAGCACGGGATCTTTCCTCCCAAAATTTTAACCAATAAATCATATATCAATAATTTTTAACATAATTTAACAATTATTAGTGTTTAGGATAGGGGCATGAAAATTTAGGGACAAAATCTTTTGCCCTAAACAACTAGGAAGATGTCCATGGCTTCCTAGTTTACACATCTTTCGCAAAAAGAACAAGCTCAAATTTAACAAAATGTCCATGAAAATTTAACAAAATGTCCTAGAAAGATGTCCATGAAAATTTAACAAAATCTTTCGCAAAAAGAACAAAAAAAAAAAGAAAATAAAAACAAGCTCAAATTCACACATCACAGTAAACTCATCAATATTGTGTCTATGGCTTCAACCCAAATGTCCATGATTGTAGATTTAACAAAATTAATTTCCAATG